TTTCTGAATTTGGCATTTATAAACTTCTTGTTTTGGTAGAATGTTGGAAATTTGAGTGTGGTTAAGTGTGTTTTTGGGCATTTCATGTAACTTTGGAAATGGCCAGAAGTTATACCCAATTTGGCCAAAATTTTATTTAAATGAAATGAAATGTCTTGTTTTGTTGTGTGCATCACTATCACTTGTTTGCAAGCAAGGTGTACAAATAATTTCCATTTTTGGCCATTCATTGAAAGAAAATATACAAAACCAAACTTTGCCATTCATTTGAAAGAAAATATACAAAACCAAATCCCATATTCGGCCATACATTAAGTGCTGTTTTTGCAATTTACTGTTACAAAATATTGAAAATGGTGAATCCATATGACCATATATATTGTTGTTTTTGGTCATCACCTTTACAAGCTATATAGATAAGGACATGACATTAATTTAACCTATTTAGTCCCAATTTGAATAAACCAAAGCCCTAAATGACCACTATTCAAAAAAGACAAAAAGTAACTAACAAAACATATCCATTTAAAAAGCAATATTTAGGCCTTCTCATTGCCTTCTGTTGTGGTAGGTCTTGCAGGCATACTACTGGCAACAGCATCATCAACACCCTACACCATTCAACATGCAAATGCATTTAACAATCTAACTATAAAACTTATAAAAAAAAAGGAATATGGTTTCAAACATACAATAAAGCTCCATGTGGTTGTAGGGACCCTCGCCTTCTTTTTCTTGCTACCTGAGGTTGAGGCACCTTCACCTCCCTGTTTCTTTATCTTGTTTACACCCTGGAACCAAAAAAACAGTTTTAAAGCATGTTCCTTCAAGCATCCACTAAATTCATAGGGGAGAAATACAGTTTCAAAAGAAAAAATATCCTCAATCACCAACTAAATTATCAAAAAAAAAAAAAAAGCATATCTTTTTACCAACCAAAAGTAATCATACTTATAGTGATTTTCACTCTTGCACTTGCACTCTCATTTCTACCTTCTTCATTGTTATATGGGCATGTTCTCCGATTGTGCCCTTCATTGCCACACACCTTGCATGTCATTTTTCTCCCTTTTCCAGTGAGCTTCCTAAGCTTCCCTTTCTTCATCTTTTGTGGTTCACCTTTATGTCTTCTTCTCTTTCTCCTCGGCCTCCCTAGCATGCTCCTAACAGGTGGTGGTAACAACTCTTCTTCAGCCACAGCTTTCCATGCTTTTGTCCCTTTCCTTATGCACTGAAGAGGGTATGCATAGGCAGCCAAATATTTTTCTTTCTTATAGAAATCTGAAATGTAGTGCTCTACTCTCCACCTTTTGTACCTTATGCAAGCCAGAGCATGAGGGTAAGGAACCCCTGAGAGTTGCCAATATCTACATGTGCAAGTTTTGTCATCAAATTTGACAACATGTTGATCCCCACCATCATTGACCTCAAACTCATTAACCCCATTTGGTTGCACACCACATCCTTGTGACTCTGCCTTCAGTTCCTCAAGCTTTTTTCTGATTCTAGGAGCAATGTCATCACCTTCAGGCCATTTTTCTGCAAACAGCCTTTTATCAGCTATCCTCAGCATCAACTGATCCCTAATATGATCATTCATTGCAATTATTGCCTTACACCTTGCCCCTAGTATCCAAGAGTTGAAAGTTTCAGAAATGTTGTTGTCAATTGAATCACATTTACAATTTTCCTGGATAAATGCTTTGCACCAATGCTTTCTAGGGTATCCTAACAAGTCATCATGCCCTTGCATATTCTTTGCAAACAAATCACCTAACTTCTCAATGAAATCATCTTGAAATGTTGCCTTTGCACAATTCCAGAAGCAAATCTTTATCTCATCACCTCTTTGACCCAACTTTGCCCAATTGCAATAAATATGCCTTGCACAGTGCCTATGCTCAGCCTCGGGTAATATTAACTCTACAGTTGATAATATAGCCTATACCAATAATTAAAACCAATAACAGCAACAATGAGTAATTTTACAACAATTAACATAAAGTTTTAATAATTAAAAATGATAAATGCATATAAATAAATGAATAAAAGCTACTGATGTGTTCACCTGATGTTCATCTGACATAACTGTTACGCCTGCACCAGTGCTAAGATCTAAATCAGTTTTCAGTAGTTCAAAGAACCACTGCCATGACTCAAGACATTCAGACTCCACTACTGCTCAAGCAATTGGAAACATCTGGTTGTTCCCATCCTTCCCAACTACAGATAGCAGAATTCCCTTACATATTCCCTTCAAGAAACAACCATCAACACCAAAGAACCTTCTGCACCCATCCTTCCAACCTTGCTTTAGGGAATGCAGACAGACATACATTCTATGGAAAATTCTAGTATCACTAGAACTTGTTTCAATGGCAGTGACAACAACAGTATTCTCTAGATGGCTATCCCTCAATATTTTGGTGTAACTCTTCAAGTATTTGTATTCATCAACATAGCTACCCTCCAGTTGTGTCATAACATGCTTCTTTGCCTTTTCTGCCTTGTCAAGTGTGATGTTCACTTTAATGTTAGTCTTGCACCACTTAACAATCTCGGCTGGCTTTGTAAATGGTGCTTCATAAATCCTTCCTTTAAAAAGATCTGCTACAACCTTGTAAGTTACAAGCTTATTGTCATAAGATTTGAAGCATCTATGCTCCCCATAGTATGTCTTCACCACAAAACACTCATATCTGCTGTCATAAGATGCAAACAACTCCCATTTGCACCCTGTTTGGCATCTAAACCTCACCCTAGTACATTCATTTTTGACCTTTCGTAGTTGAGCTTGCTTTTGTATGGAGTATTTACAAACTGCAGTTCTGAATTGCTTTGCATCTTTGAACCTCATCCCAATATCAAAATATGGGACCTTCCATTTTGGGTTATAGTAGGTTTGACAGACATTTCTGCTAACAACATGATCTGGTTGCACAAATATGTCATCCTCATCATCTGAATTCCAATGAAATTTCCAAGCACTAGGATCATCACTGTCTGCATAATCAGACTCCCTATCTTCTTCATCTGTAGAGGAACCACTGTCATCACTGACAGGCAGTTGTTGTGTGCTATCAATTGGATCACCTCTTCTCACCTTATTCCCACCACCTTGTTTGACTTTATGCTGAGCAACAGATTTCTTTTTCTACCTCTATTGCATGTTGCAGTTTCTTCTATACCAGCAGCATCTGTCACATTAGCTTCTTGGACAGTAGCTTGATCATCTGTGACTATAGGTTGCTGTTGTTGTTGGACAGATGGTTGCTCTTGAGTTACTACAGGTTCTTCAATATGATCATCTTCTTGCTCATTCCTAGTTGCAGTTTGCACAGCTGCCTTAGACTTCTTTCTACTACTTCTTGTGGCATTTCTCCTTCTCTTCCTAACCTCCTGAGCCAAGTTAGCAATACTGACTTGCTCATCATCAGTTTTGTCACTCCCTAATGACCATGCACTATCATCTGAACTTGTCTCCCAGTCAATAACTGACACATCATCACTACTTTTTTCACTTCCTAAATTACCCTCATCCCCATGCACAGAAACATCACTACCACTATTGTCACCCTCATCTTTGGAAACATCCCCTGTGAGCAATAGTGGACCCTCAACAATCTCAGGTATATTGATGTCATGGTCTACATACAACTCCACATTGCCAGCATATGAAATTATATCATTCATCTCCCTAATTGCACTATCTGAATTACAAGAAACTACTCCATCTGGCATATCCATCCAAGGTCGCATATAGTAAAAGTCTTTAATTGAAACTCGATCATAACCTTGTCTAACAACATAGTCAGTAATCATAAATGAATTCAACCTATCCATATCACATGAAACATCCTCTCGTACACCCCCTACATATATAAATGGTGGTCCCTGTACAAAACGCCCACCATAATTGAACCATATAATACCTCTACTTGGGTCCCCCATTACTGTACAACAAATAAATTAATATCATTAAGGCATTACGTCATTAATTAAACATAATAAGACAACACAAAGCACACTGATGGTGGGACACAATCGGTGGGACACAAAAGAACAACATTCTTCAAGAAAATACAAAAGTCCATAAAGAATGATAGAAAAATGAAACTTATTGACAGCATAAAGGCACTCACCAAACTTTTCTGTCCTTTTCGTGCCCTTAATCGTGCTCTTTTTCCCAGACAATGGTCCCCTCTGATCAAAGACTTTTACGAACTAATCTGAAACAAGAAGTTCTGATTTTCCTTCGCTTTTCAGACTCTTCACTGACATAGATTCCCTTCGATCGCACCAAATCAATGGGTTTCTGGACTGGGTTTTTTTCTTGAGACTTAGAAGAGAAGGTAAAAGGTGGTTTCTGCAGATCTGTTTTAAAATCTTTGGGTTTTTAGGTTAGGTTTTGTTTTATTTTTTTTTTTTGTGGGGACACGGGGACAAGCGGGAAAAGTCCCGCGCAGTGGGCCCCACTGCACACGTGGATGCCACATCATCAAAAAGCTGATCCACATGTGAACCCAACGAATAAGGAAACGCCGCATGTGCCACGTCAATTTTTGGGTGCCACGTAGTGCATTTTTTAACGGTACTGTGACGACCCGTTAAAATATTGGGTTTTTCACGGGTTTTGAAAAGTGGAGGGTGTGAATAGGGAGGAAAAATTCTGGAAGGTGTTGACTGCGGAAAACAAATAAATGGAGGATGCAAATAAGAGCTTTGGCCTATTAATTTATGTTGACAAAAATTAAATGAAAAATATTTTTAGCTTTTTTTTTAATAAGTAGTTTATATTATTAAAAGATAGAATGCATATAAATTAATGACTTCAAATTAATAATTAAATCCTCAAACTGCTGAAATTATAATTTTTAAATTTT